GGGATGCCGGAACTCTCAGAGCGGGGTCCCACCGCTCCGGCACAGCCATGCAGAGCTCTGCCTCCATCCACAGCCCACCCCCCTCCCCGAAGGAGGGACCCCGCGGGCAGGAACACCGTCAGCCTTTCCTCCCCTCCACTCCCTGTCTGTGTCCGGGCGCTGCCTGCAGCAGGGAGCAGCCGGGGGGGCACAGGCTGGTCCCTGCTCATTTTCAATCCTCATCCAAGCCCGACGCGGTGCTTGCCAGCCGGGTCCCGGGTTGGGTTACAGGCCCACCCCGCAACCCTCCCCCGGGGAGCTGTGCCCCCCAGCCAGCAGCCCCCCGGCAGGGGGGAGGGAGGGACACTCCGTGGGGTCCGGCCAGCGCCAAGGGCAGAGGGACAGCAGCTCACATGGCTCTGCCTGGGCCTATTTGCTACCAAACCTGCCTACGTAAATTAATCAGAGCTAATTGGCTTTTAGGTAAGTCTTCTTTGCAGGAGCTCTGCAAGAAAGACTTTGAAGCAGGATTGTGAGTGGCAAACCCTTTATTTAAACACAGGGTGCTACGCAAGGACAGGCTCCCGGCCCCAGTATCGCTCCCTGCTCCCTTCAGCACAGAAGATGTCAATAGGTTAAAATCTCGCTGGATAACTTTCGCTTCCCATTAAGCACACCCAGTTTATTTACATCTCACTGATTACAACAGACAAACAACATTCACCAGAGGTGACACTTGACAAGAGCTGGCTGCACCCAGCGGCAGCAGGACACCAACTACTGCTGCCACAGAGCCTTTCCAAAACACAGGACCACGGCCCAGCTCCCCCCACTGCCGCCACACTGCCAGGATGGGACCACCCCCTGTGTTTCAGGAGGATGCAACCTGCGAGGGTGCAGGAAATGCATCCTCCGGGTCAGAGCGATGCAAAGATGCGGAGATCCACTGCTGCTACAGCTCTGCTCAGCACCAGCTTTGGGACTATAAGAAACAGGAGGGAGTTGTCTTCCTCCCCCCCAGTCACAACCAAGCTGCTTTTACTGTGGGTTTCCAGCCCTCGGCTAAGCAGATCCGCGCAGCACGTTTAAGCTGTTAAGCTCGGCTGAATGGGGCTGCTCTGTGTGCAGCTGCGGCTCAGCAGCGGCCCACTTAGAACCGCTCAAAAATATAGACATATATTCATACAGACTCCCCGCACCAAGAAGGGATTTAGACATTTTCCAGCTCAGCTCTCCAGTTAATAATAAATAATTGGCTCCAGAAACGCAGCAGTGATCCCAGGCACGAAGAGGGGCAGGGGCAGAACCGGTGGCACAGCCAGTGCAAGTGCGACAGCTCTTTCCTTCCCGGGGGGCTCTCGGTGAGCTGCAGTGACCGAGTGCTGCCCTGTCCTCCCAAACCAGACACTGAGAGCAGGGACGTGGCTGGGACGAAGGTGTGAGGGGCCGGAGAGGGCAAGCACGAAGCTGGGATGTCAGTCGTGGGGCTCGCCCACCACCACGCCACCCACAGCTCAGCACTGCCGGCTGCCGGCGGGGCTTCACCCCCCCACGGCCCGTCCCAGCCCCAGCGCCCAGCCCCAGCAGCAGCTCCGGTGTCACCAGCACGGTGCCACAGGGCAGGGGGAGAGGAGATGATAGCAGCAACAGGTACGCTCTTCTCCACGTACGAGTGCCCCGACGGCCACGGCACACTGCTGGAACCAGTGCACCCAGCCCTGGGAGAGGTGCAAAGGACGCACGGAGAAGCAGGGCAGCCTGTAGGCTTTTCACAGCAATCAAGAAAGTGGCATCCCTCGACCCCAGTCCCCGCGCTCTATCCAAGGCCCTTCCACCGGGTGCAGCCGGGGCGGGGGGATGCCCTGGGCCGGGGCGCAGACAGAGGCTCCAGGTTTCTTACGCTTTGTGCAGTCGGCCCAGGAAATAAGTGCTGGGGGGAGAGGTGGCCCCGAGGCAGTGCCAGTGTCCCACTCGACTCCATCCAGGCACGGCGAGCCCTGCTGCCCCGGCGTCATCGGGCATCACGTGTAGTTGCCCGGGCCGCCCAGAGGGATCACGAAGACGGAGATGTCGTCGCCGGAGCCCAGCTTGTCGTTGGCCAACCGCCAGCCCCGCTCCTTCAGCACTCCCCTGGACCGCACCACCAGCTCCTGCGCCACCATGGTGTACCTGGGGGGCACAGCACAGCACGGCGCGGCTCAGCAGCGACCCCAGACCCCACAGACTCCCTGATGCAGCAACCTGCAGTCCCTGGCGAGGAAGGAGAAACTGGAAGAGCTGGAGGTGCAGGAAAGGGTCCCTTGGAGAGGAGAGCTCTGGGCTCAGATACGCACATCTCGGGGAGCATTGCACACTGCGGCGCAACAGCACCAGCCCGGGGCCAGAGGGACACATGGCCACGACGCTGCTCCAAGGAGCAAGGCCACGGGGAGGTGTTAGGGAGCAGGACACGCTCCTCCCCTTGCCCGCTCGCAGCTCACCTGCACGGGTCATTGGGCTCATAGCTCGTCAGTACCTCCATCACCACACCAGCCACCTCCTTGTCGTTGGTGACATCCCAGAGCCCGTCGGTGCCCAAGACCAGAATGTCATCAGGGCAGTGCTCGTACTGCGTGAGGTCGTAAACCCTGACCTGGCAAAAACGGGGCAAGACACAAGGGTGAGGGGCAGAGAGGGCTCCTGCTGCACTGGGCACACCACGGATCTGGTCACCCCGACCGGCTCTGGCCACGGAAGGAACCGTGGGCACGGAGCAGCCGGCCACCAGGCTCACCTCCGGGAAGCAGGACAGGAAAGGCTTGATGTGGATGTTGGAGCTGAACACCTTGAGGTCGTGGTCTCCCAGGCCCCGCGTGACCCCGATGGTGGCCATCACCCGAGCCTGGAGAATGGCGAAATCAAAAGAAAACTTTAAGCTGCTTCATCTCCCCCTCCATTCCCGGCTGGGAATCGGTGGCATTGGAGCAGTGACAGCACTAGCAAACCCCCGATTCAGTGCAGGCAGGAGGGACGCGACCCCTGCGCAGCTCCTGCCACAGCACTTCACCTTTTTGCCTTCCCCATAGATAAGTGGAAACTTCAGGTCATCCTCTTCTATCTTTTTGTAAGCCCTGGTTAAAATAAGCCAGAGACAAGATGTCAGCGGGCTCCCAGCACCTCCCCTGCCCGCCCGGCACACAGCAGCCCCTGGGACAAGGCCCCGTCAGACCCGGGCACCCCGTGTGCCGCAGCCCCCCGCCCCACGGGAAGGGATGCTGGAGCCAGGCGGCCACGCACAGCGGGAGGCCCGCGCCACCCTCCGCCGGCCGACTCGAC